TCTTCTCCACAACTCCCCACGAGTGGAGAGTTGCCACCACGAGCCAGCAGCCAAACTCTGCCCTGAGCCAGGTGATTAAGGATAGGAGAATGACAGTAGCAGCTTGTACCCCAGGGTCAGCAGCCAGCCTCGAGGTTTTGGGGATCTCAGCAAGGAATCTGAGCAGGAAAGAAGTTTTAGGATAGAAGCATCACTCCTGATTCAGTGCAAAACTTCTTCAACCAGGGAGCAACTGGACCCACTCTCCATGCACGTGGCTCACCTGGGCTGCCAGTCAGACTTCATGGACTGGGTTTTTCTGTCATCTCCAATTTAGTGTCTATGACAGGTAATTTAATATAAATATAAATTTCCCTTATAGCAGGTCGAGCCTCCTTCCACTGATTTCCATGGCAATCAGATGAGGGAACAGCTCTGTTTTAAGTGAGACTCAGGGCACCCACGCCAGCCTAGGGTGATGATTTTGGGACTGGTTCCAGTGTGAGGCTGCTGTTACCTTCCCTTTACCTGTTGTTTGCATCCAAACCTAATTGCCAATTGACATCAGCCTCTCTGAGGAGCTGCTGCTCCATCAGCACAATGAGCCATTGTTGAAATGGCCGCAGCAATTTTCCAGGTTAATTTATGGCCGCCACACCCCATTAGCAGCAATAAACGTGGAGCCCGGTTTTGCCGAAATTGTGAGTTACGATTTTTCAAATAAATACATTTTCCTATAAACCAGCTCTCTGTTTAGTTAGAATGTTCCTCACAGACACATCCATCTACATAAAATACACAGGAGAGGAAGCTGAGCTGTGACTTTGCTCTGATGACATAAAAACTTTTGTAAACACAATGTCACTTACAGTACTAGCAAAGAGAGAGCCCAAAAAATAAACAGCGAGTGCCTGGCCCATCCCTTCAGGAGCACATGGAAAATTTAATACTTTTTTCCGTAAAGCTTTGTTTTCCTTTTGATTTATCCATGCAAGACAGTGACTGTTTGGCCATAAAGAGATGGTATTTCTTGAGGGGCAATGGTTGCTGTCATCCTGTGTGTCGCCATAGGGACGGCACAGGAGGGGTGTGGACAGAGAAGATGCTGTGGGTTGGTGCTGGGAGCAAAAACATCCAGGCACAGCCCTGTGCTCACCCCAATTTCTCCTGCTCCTTCCGTGGGGCTTTGACAGACCATACCTCCCTGGGTACTGGGATGCAGGATCAAGCAGCCCAGTGATGCAGTCTGGGGGATTCAGGCAGTGTGTGGGCACAAGTGTGAACTCTGCTGCACCCCAGCACCCCTCACCCCTATGAAACCCATCCTGGCACAGCAGGACACGTGTGGTAAACCCTGCTGGGGAGGAGAGATGCCCTGAGAGATGCCTTGGCTGTGATGCCAGAGCTGAGTTCATTGCTGATCAAACTGACTTGATTCCATCCACTTCTGCAGGTTCTCTGGCTCCCTGCAATGCCAGGAGGAAAATAACCCCCCAGAGAAGCTCTCTGCAGCTCTCCTTGAAGCAGACTCTGCTCATGCCTCAGTTTCCCAAGGGTTTTTGCCACTGTCCCCTGAGGCCTCTGAGAGCAGAACTGTTAGGAAGGTGCTGAGTGATTATTATTGCATTATTTCAGGCAAGTGCTATAAATACCCAGGGGCACCTTTAGACACAACCCAGCTGCCCAGGGGAGCTGGCTCAGCCCTGCTCCGCGCCTGCAGCGGCTGAGGAGGGCATGGAAGGCAGTGGCTGAGTGAGGAGGTACCCTGGGCATAACCTGCTGGGGGACACGGAGTGGGGCTGTGGGGTGAAGGGGCTGGGACCCTCCTGGCTGCACCCTGGGGCTTCAGAGGAGCTGGGTGTGGGGGGGTGTGGGTGCAGCAGGGTGCCGGGATGCTGCAGGGAGACGCTAACAAGGAAGACAAGGGGAATATTTTACGGGGCTGCAATGTAAACAGAGCTGGAGCAGAGCCCCTTTTTATGGAGTCCCTGTCCTGCCAGGGCATCTGCCAAGGCCCTGATTTACGCTCCTATTTAGATAAGGGAGCCGGAGGGGGGGAGCAGAGCTGGCGTCAAAGTCACAGGACACCCGGGGCTGCCGCTGGCTGGGCGCTGATAAGGAGGTGGCTGAGGGGCCAGGGCCAAAACCCCGGCTCCTGTCCCAGAAATGGGGATGGATGCAGGGCTTGGTGGCCCCTGCTGAGTTTGGGGTGCTGGGGTTCACAGAGACCTGGGATGACCTCACTGCCAACATGCAGCATTGGCCCCCTCACCATCACCTGGCCATGAGGGCAAAGAATCTTTCCCTGGGAAGGATTTGAAGGCAAATAGATGGAGAGAAACGTGGTTCCTCTTGCCATGCCAGCCATAAATCGCCTAATCCAAACTGCTCCGTGCTTTCTCCCTCATGTGAGTGGGGAGATGTGAAATTAAAGAAACTCACCAAAAGTTTGAGAAGTGCTAAATTTGGACGCCATGACAAAGGCAGTCTGGTTTGATTTAGGAGGTGTCGGCATGAAAAGGGCTCTGGTTTTATTATTTTATTAAAACACCAAAGATTAGAATTATTTTCCAAAGGAAAAATCAACTCTTTGGTCCCACTATTTGCTCAGCTGAGCACTTCCAAATTCTGCGGGGTCCAGGGATCTCCATCAGGGGGTGGATTAAGCAAGATAATGCCCAGGCTTGGGCTGGACTTACCTGGCTTGGCAGCTGGAGGCTGGAGGTGACTCTGGTGCACGGCTCAAGGTGACAGCTCCCAGCTGGATGTGGCTGTAAGTGGCCTGTGCAATGCAGGGCTATGGGGATGAAAGGGGTATTTTTGTGAGGTATTTCTAGAGATGGGCTTGGGTGCCACAGACTCTAACCTGGCAGTTTGCAGGGCTGGGGAGAAGCTCACTGAGAAGCCTGGGTGGTTTGTAAGAGGAGCAGGGCTCCACAGGTGATGCTCTACCAGCATAGAGGGGTGAGGCATGAAGTGGGGTCCCAGGTGGGCACTGGCTGCCATCAGCTCTGAGCCGGGCTCAGGGATCCCACCCAACCACGGCTGTTTTGGAGAAAATCAGGGACACGACGCCCTACCCAATCCTGGCTCCAACAGGAGAGTAATCACTAGCAAATGTTTGCAGGGCGCTTGTTTAAAGGGGGTGGGGAAGCGGGGTCTTTGCAGCAGCTGAGAACAAAGCAGGGGGGAACAAAGCTGGGCAGATCCGGCACGGCCGCTCCCCCCCAGCCCGGCAGAACCGGAGACCTGCTCGCACCCTGCCCCGGCCCCCCCAGCCTCCTGCCTTTGCAGCTCGCCTTGTAACAACTAACGATGGAAAATCCGAGGCATTTAAGTGGCTCCCGAATCCGCCCGGGAACCGTGATTGAGAGAAGTCAAATAAAATTTGTCATCTTTAAAATGCAGGAGGACGTTAATGGTGTGTTAGCCCGGATGATTAATACAAGCGCCTGCAAACAACCCTCCAACGTTTCCACCCTCCGCTGCAAGATGAATCGCTGGAAAGCGCCGTTAATCGCTAACATACCTCGGGCCCAAAGTCCCTTCCTGCCCCGCCGTGCTGTGACCAGCGCTGCCGTGCCCAGCCCGTCCTCACTGCAGCACCGCGGCAAGAGCAGGGGTCAGCCCCAGTGTCGCCCAGCGGGGCTGGGGGTGAAGCCCTGGCTCTGGGAGACATCGTCCTGGGGATCTGTCACCCATGGGTGCAGAGGCCAGCAGGATGTGCTGCTGTCCACTTCAGGCCCCACCCTGAGCTTGGGTTTGGGGCTGTGGTGAAGTACAAGATCCCAACCCCAGCATGTCCCCCCTGGCCCTTTCGTGGCCAGGCTGGGATGGGAAAATGCAGGGCAGGTCCCCAGCTCCCTATTGTAAATACAATAGTGTGCATGGGCAGTATAATTTTTATATATTTATGTATCTATGCAGAGTCTGTACACGGGCGAGCAGCACACACGTGTGCTTATAAACCATGTGTGTCATAGCTGTCCGTGTGCCACACGTGTGTGTGTCATATACTTACAAAGACATGGTGCACGTGGCACATCCGTGCTGCTGGTGTATGTAACATATATGGGTGCATATGTAACGTGTTTGTGGAGTGCGTGTACAGCACAGAAGCTGTGTGGTGCACGCAGCATCTTTGTGGTGCGTGTGGGCAACGCGTGCAGTACGTAGGTGAGAGCAGCAGTGCATGGTGTAACCAACACAAGTGCAGTGTGGATTTGTGCAGCGTGCTTTGCACAGCGTGGGCATGTGCTGCACACACGTGCAGTGCACATCCCTGTGCAGCTGTGCAACGCAGGCGTGGGCCAGGAGCCCCGTGTGTATGGAGGGAGCCCACACCCCATCCCTGCCAGCCCCAGCCGCAGGGGTGCCCAGCCCGCCTCACTCCGATACTTTTCCCCCTTTTCTCCCCATCCCCCGGCTCCGAGTGCGGCCCCGAGCATCCCGCACTGCCCTCCCGGCGCCGAGCATCGCCGCGCTCCGCTCTCCCGGCCCGGCCGTCGGAGGTCCGGGCAGCCGCGGCTCCCCCGCCCCGCTGCCGGCTCTCCTCCCCGGCCGGGCGCGGCGGCTCTCGGGGGGCTCGGAGCGCTCCGGGACGGGGTGGGTGCCCCTCGGTTCTTCCTCACCCCCTTCTTCCTGACAGCGAGGGGCGGGCGGCACCGAGGGCGAGCGGCGGAGGTGTGAGCCCGAGCCCGGAGCCCGGAGCGCGGCGCACGCCCCCTCCGCCGCTTCGCTCCCCCCGGGGCCTCCGCGCATCCTCCCCTGCCCATTGGCTCCACGGCGGGGGGGCCGCGGCCCTATATAAAGGCAGGGTCGGGAGGCTCCAGAAGGGGTTAAAAAAACCCCAAACAACTAACCCAAATCCCCAAACCCCGTCCACCCCACCCCAAACCCCACAGCCGCCTCCGCCACCGGAGCCGCGCTCCCCGCAGCCCGCCGCGCCCGCCCGGCGGGGAGCGCCTCCCGCCCGGCCATGGAGCGCTGCTGAGCGGCCCCCGGGGCCAGCGGAGCGGATCATGAACCTGGTGGGGGGCTACCAGCATCACCACCACCACCACCACCACCACCACATGCTGCACGACCCCTTCCTCTTCGGGCCGGCGGCGCGGTGCCACCAGGAGCGCGCCTACTTCCCCGGCTGGGTGCTCAACCCGGCCGAGGCGACCCCCGAGCTCGCCGGGCAGAGCCCGAACTACGGCCCCGCCGAGTACGGCCCGGCCGGCCCGGGGCGGCTGGAGGCTCTCAGCGGCCGCCTGGGACGGCGAAAAGGTGTCGGGGGACCCAAGAAGGAGCGGCGGAGGACGGAGAGCATCAACAGCGCCTTCGCCGAGCTCCGCGAGTGCATCCCCAACGTGCCCGCCGACACCAAGCTCTCCAAAATCAAGACCCTGCGCCTGGCCACCAGCTACATCGCCTACCTGATGGAGGTGCTGGCCAAGGACAGCCAGCCTGGGGACACCGAGGGCTTCAAAGCCGAGCTCAAGAAGGCGGACGGCAGGGAGAACAAGAGGAAAAGGGAGACGGTAAGAGGTGGTTGGGGACCTGCGTCCCTGCTCTCCGTGGGCCCGGAGCGGGGGGATAAACCCCGGGACTGGGGAGGAGAAATTCTCTAAAATGTCCCGGCCTCGCTGAAGCCTTTTTTCCCCAGCGCAATAACAACAGCAACAATAATAATAGTAATAACTAACAAATCCGTGAAGGGAAACTCGTCGAAAAATAGCCAGCCCGTGCTTCCGAGCACTTTCCGCGAGGGGTCAGCCCCCGGGTCCGGGACTGGCAGGAGCTTCTCCCGGCCTGTCCTTCACCTCTCCCGGGACGAGCGGGCGCAGGAGCGATTCGGAGCAAGGGTGGCCGCTTCTGCCCGTGCTGCAGCGGGCGGGTGGCGGGGTGGGGACCTCCAAAGCCCCTCTTTGTCCTCGGGCTGGCAAAGCCGCTCGGAGCTGCGGGGCCCGGCCGCAGCCCTGCGGCGGGCGCAAGGGGCGGGCGGGCGGCCGGGACCCCGCTGCGTTCCTGACCGCTCCTTTCTCCCTCCTCTCCCCATCTCCTCTCCCGCAGCAGCCCGAGGTCTATTCGCAGCCTCTGGGTCACGGCGAGAAGAAGCTGAAGGGCCGGACGGGTTGGCCCCAGCAGGTCTGGGCTCTGGAACTGAACCCCTGAGAGCTGCCCCGCCGCCCCGATGGCCCTCCCCGCCCGCTCCTCCATGTGCAATGTCGGAGAGAGCCCAGCCCGGCCCCGGAGCCCATCCAGGCGCAGGACACGGGGAGCCGGCCCGGCTGCCCCCCGCCCGGGCGATGCTCCGCGGGAGAGAGGCGAGAGCGCTTTGCGGGCTCGGTCCTGCCCGCCTCGTCGGCAGCGGGGACCAGCCGGGCCCTTTCCCCGTGCCGCCTTCCCGCAGTTGCAGTAATCGTTTCTCCTTCCCGCTGCCAGCAGCGATCGGCGGCTCCTGCCCTGCCGGGCCGGACTGGAGCGGTTCGATCCTTTTGCTGTTGTAAATACGAGCCCCCGACCCCCTCTCCCCTTCCGCTGCCTGACCGACGTGTGGCTGCGGTGAAACTACCTAGAGGTGCATTTGGGAACACTCCTGTGCCGGGTTTTCTACCTCAGATCTGCATGACCACTTCCCGAGGGACCGAGCGCGCCACACCACGTATTTAAAACTGAATAGCTAAAAAAATTTTAATAAAATAAAATTTAAACTTTATGCAAACGGCCTCGGGTCTGAGCCCTCTGCTTTCCCCTGTTCCGGCAATCGCGCTGCTCTGGCCGGGTCCCCTGCACTGTCCACAGGGGTGCTGCGGGATTAAAGACATCCCTGAAGTCAGTATTCTGCTGTGGGGCCGATCCATGTGAGGGAATTCCTCCTTGGGGAGCTCGGGATCCTTTGAGACATGTTTGTGCCGTCCTTGCTCACCGCAGGAGCTGGTGGAGCTCCGCAAACGTCCCCGCGACCTCCTCCGGGGCACGGACTCTGCCCCTGCCCTACCACCCCTTCCCTTCCCTCCCCAGAAGCCCAGCTGGAGGGACTGGACTCGTATTTGGCATGGGGAAGGATGGCAGGATCAGCCCTTTTCAGCTTCTGGATGGCAGCACAGAGCTGTGGAGTCCCAGGTTTTGTTGCTGCCACGCAGAGAGCCGGGCTCGGCTCCCCTGTCCTGCCGGGGCAGCCCGGCCGGCTCTGGCACCGGCAGCACTTTCTCACAGGGATCCCCTGCCAGGCGCTGCCTCGGCCGCATTTCGAAGGAGCAGCGTCCCCTCCTCGCCATCCGAACACGATGGATGCCACCAGCCTCAGACACAGCAACGCTAACGCAGCCCAAATTCTGTCACCACTCAGGCACAAATCCTTAATAATCCTTAATAATTAAAGCCAAATCCCCATCACTGTGCACACACGCTGCTCTTACCAAAGAGTTCCCAGACGTGCGTGCGGGGGCTCAGAGCCTGATCCTGCCTTCCCAGCCTGGCCACGCTGCCGCTCCCAGAGACACCGGGATAAACCCTGATACTCGGGCGGCTGCTTGGGGCGAAGAAAAACAGCACGGGGAAATGTGTACATTATTCTAGGGCTAATCTGAGGGCTCACAGGAGGGACGTTTACATTTTCTGTTTGAAACCAAGCTTTTGATTGCGACTAAAGGTATAGAAATAATGATGCAACGTCTGTAAAATACGGACACATTGATCAATTTGTACACACCAAGAATAGCCCAGCTCACCCGTGGGGAACCGGCTTGGGTTTTATAACCACTTTGTGCATGTGTACAAATACGGACGGAGGGACACACAAACATTGTGGAGTGCAGCCAGTGTAATTAACTCTCGACGAAGAAGAATCTGGCTGCGTGAAGCAGCCTCGCTCCGGAGCCGCTGCACGGCTGCCTTCTCTTCCCCTGATCTATTTTCTGATCCCTTTGAGCGAGGCTGGGATGAAAATTGACTGCCAGAGAAGAGCAACGCTCGCCCGCAGTGGTACTTTTTCGTTTGAGGTGTAAGAGCTTTAGCATGATATCACTTCCATGAGTGAAGTAGAGTAGGGCACTCCTATACTCGAATGCGTTCAAAGGGGGGGAAAAAGGGAAAAAGAAAAAAAAGAAAACGTACAGAAAGCCTCAGAGATCATATTTTATGTCTAAGTTTCAGAGTCTCCTAAAGGCTGGATTCTTATGGGAAAGCTCCCAAGCTGTCACTAACACTGCAATCCAGCACCCCATAAATGTGTCCGCAGTCCTGTTCATATGTGCCAGCCGGTATCCGTGTATCCATCCAGCACCAAACGGGGCTGCCCTTCGGCAGCGATGAGGGAAAGGGTTAAGTGGGGACTCGGGACTTGCTCTGCTGTGACACAAAGGTGACTCTGCACGGGAATCGTGTTCCCGGTGCCGGCACACCACGGTACATCACTCTGGCTGCGCACCTTTCACCCCACCAGAAACCTCCGCTGGTTTTTACCCTGTGTGTTTCCAGTTTTGCTTCTGGGAAGGGGCACCCTGCACAGCCAGGGCGATGTTCTACCTGCATCCGCAGGATTTTTTCTTTTCTTACCACAGGTTTCTGGTGGTGGTACCTGCTGAGGAAGGTATTCCCAGTGCCAGCCTCCCGTTTCTCAGGATTTTCCAAGTGAAAGCGCTCTCTGTTTCCACGGCTGCAGAGGATTTCCCTGCCCAGCAAAGGAGTTTTCCTGTGAGGTAGTGGCTTAGCGTTTGGGGGAAGAAAGGGGAGAAAAAAAAACACTAAACACGTCCTGCAGCCTCGGGCTTTCCCGCTCCCCAGGACGCTTTGGAAGGGCTGCATTGCCAGCAGCCAGCTCCGTCCCCAGCTCGGCTCCGGGACGGGACACGAGCTTCCAGCTCAGCGCCTGTTCCAGCCTAGGATGGGGTCGCCCTTCACCCCCAGAGGAAGAGGAGCTGCAGGGGGATGGGAGCCCTGCCCAGGGACAGCCTCCCATCCTCCGGCAGCGAGCCACGGCTGGCAGCGGCGTGCCGGCAGCGCTCCCGGTGCCGCCGGCACCAGAACTCTCCGGAAGAACGGTTTGGCCACCAGCTTTGCGTTTTTGGCTATCGAAGTGCCTAGCTCATCGGTCAGGGGACATGGCCCTGCACATACCTGCGGCTCGACCCTGCCGTGAACTTGATGCCGTTGGGAAGCAGCTGGCTTGGGGCACGCAGGCGGGGCCGGCTGCTGCCCGGGCAGAGGAGCACGCACGCCGGGATCGCTCGGCCCCGGGGCAGCATCTTACGTGCCAGGTTCCCTGCCGCTGGAATCCAGGCACGAGGGGCACGGCAGGGCACCCTGCTGCCAGCCCTGCCTGGCCAAGGGGGCAATGCTGTGGGTGAGGAGGCTGTCGGGTGCTTCTCTCCCCTCGCTCTGCACCTCTGGTTTGGCACGCAAAGGAATGGCTCCTTTTTTGACTTCTCCCCCCCCTTCTTTCCTGCCAAGCCCAGACCCCGCTTCTTGTTGTTGTAGGTATTTATGGGCCTGTTTATCTGATCTCGGGGGAGCCTATTCTTATCTCAGAAGCAGCAAGGGAAGGGTTACACTGGACAGCTCGGTAGACAGGATGGAGCCAAATAAAATACCAATCTGACAAAAAAAAAA